TTTAAGAGACAGAGTCTTGTCGCCCTTGGTATCACAGCTCACAGCAACCTCCAGCTTTGGGCTTAGGCAATTCTCTTGTGTCAGCCTTGGGAGTATCTGGGACTATAGACGCCCACCATAATGCTCGCCTATTTTTTTGTTGGTTTGGCCAGGGCTGGGTCCGAACCCGCTACCCTCAGTATATGGGGCCAGCGCCCTACTCACTGAGCCACAGGCGCCGCCCACATTTTTCTAATTAATAATAACGTTGAAAGTGGTCTGGTGTGTGAAAGTCTTAACACCTGGTCCTTGGAAACCTCCAGACAGAAGTTGAATGCCTGTTGGCCCAGAAAGCTTTCGAAGAGTCTTGCATTGTGAAGAAGATTGAACTCACTTGCCTTTCAACTTCTTGGTCTAAGGCCTCTGATGGTATCCCCCTTCCTTGTCTTTTCTTAGATGGAAGAACAACTTCTGAAACGAGTGTGGAGGAAGATTCAGAACAAAAAGTCTGCTCGAGAGAGTGGCAGGAAGAAGGTGTATGTTGGGGGTTTAGAGAGCAGGTAAAAAGGGAGGACATGGACAGGAGCAATAGAAATAGTTGGGAGTGTTAGGTTTTTAGGGGAGGGTAGAAGGCATAACTCCAGATCCTTGTTATTTCCCTCAGAGTCTTGAAATGCACAGCCCGGAATCTAGAGCTTCAGAATAAAGCACAAGTCCTGCAGGAACAGAATTTGTAAGCAACCCTCTAAACCATTCCTTTTCTATCCCCCTCCCCCACACCTGATGCTTTCTTATTGCTTCTCGCACTCTACACTTGGCTTCTAACTAGGCAGCTCCCAAATGCCAGGTCTAGTGTTTGGCCTTGACTAGGTCTGATTCTAAGAAGCTCACAGGCATGGGGAATAAGTAGCTAAAGATAAGCACCAAGAAAGAGAAAAGGAGAGTAAGAAAGGTGACATGAGGTAGGTAGTATTTGATAGTAGTTGGGATCCTAGGGGATGGGATTGGATGGGGAAAGCATTCCAGGCAGAGAACACAACCTGTCTTATTTGGCTGGAACCCTCATACAGATGAATTAGGCAAGAAAGTAGAGAATATAAAGAATGCCTATGAGGGTCATGTGTGTGGCTGATTGGGTGATGGAGAACTTTTGAGGATATTTGCAAATGATTGTGTAAGTCAGGGGAGAAAAGCTTTCTGGTTTTTTGGGGTTTTTTTTGTGACAGAGCCTCAAGCTGTTGCCCTGGGTAGAGTGCCCTGGCATCACAGCTCACAGCAACCTCCAACTCCTGGACTTAAATGATTCTCTTGCCTCCACCTCCCAAGTAGCTGGGACTACAGGTGCCCACCACAATGCCTGGCTGTTTTTTGGTTGTAGTTGTCACTGTTGTTTGGTAGGCCTGGGCTGGATTCAAACTCGCCAGCTCTGGTGTATGTGGCTGGTGCCTTAGCCTCTTGAGCCACAGGCACCGAGCCTTTGTTTGCTTTTTTGTTTTAATGAGGAACTTCAGGTGTTTTGTCCAGAGGAAGAAGTCATTTGCAAAACTAGAATAAAAATTAGAGAATCCAGTATAGAGATGGTGGAGATAGCCTTAACAGGAGTTTGTGTCTTAGGGTACCAGGCCAGGGGGTGCTCACCTCTGTTCCCTCTCTTCCTCTAGGTTTCTTCTAGGTCAATTGAGGAAACTACAGGCTGTAGAGACTGAGACATCCAACAGAACCAGCAGCAAGAGCACTTGTGTCTTGGTGAGGATGGCAATGGGAAGAGAGACTTTTTCTCAGGCAGTGAGGATAGGGATGCAATCCAGAGCTCTTCTTTATCTCCTTTTCCTTGTGCTTTAGTTCCTGCTTCTCTCCTTCTGCCTCCTCCTTATACCTGCTATGTACTTCTCTGACACAGGGAGCCTGCCAGCTAAGCATGGAGGTAAGAAGCTCAAGGCTTTCTAAGACCAGGGCTAGGGGAAAGGCCTGGGCTGGCCTCTCAAGATTCTTTGTCTCTCAGTGTTGTCCCACCAGCTTCGTGCCCTTGCCAGTGAGGATGCTTACCAGCTGGAGCTGCCTGCCCTGCGGTCAGAGGTGCCAAAGGACAGGAAAAACCAGGGGCTGAACAGCTCAGGCCATGTACTCCATGCCCCTGACAACTCTTCCTGTCTCCTGTACTACATGCTGCAGGCGCCTAATGCAGAACCTCCCCTGAAGTGGCCATTTCTCTTCTCAGGGCCCCCTCACCCAAGTCTCATCCTTCCCTTGCAGGCAAATCTTACAAGAAAGGAGGGATGGTTCCCTACCCATAACTCCTCTTCTGTGATCCTGCAGAGTAGATACTCAAGTTAGATGTGAGGAAACGGAAAGAATGCAGCAAGAGCATTATTCTGTGTCCAAAAAAAGGAGAGAGAGCTGGCCTCAGCTCCTGTGCCATTAGGAAACCTGAGGGCTCAAACACATTGCACTTAATTGGCGTTCTGGTTTATTTATTTGTACCCATGTATCTGTCACGCCATGAATGGGTCTGGGGAGATGGACCGACCTCCCTGAACATTTCATGCACTGAGGGAAGAGGTGAGGAAAGAAATAAATAAGTGATACCTGGGTCACCCTCAACCCCCTTTTACTGGCACAGTTGAGTAGGGAGAAGGGACGGGAGTCTGATTGTCCTGATGGCTCAGGGTTGCAGGAGGCTTGGTGGGGGGAGTGGCTGGAGGGGAGTAAAGGCCAGGCTAGAGGCTGGGCTGTTAGTGCTTCTATCTCACAGTTCAGAGGCCTCACTCTGGGTTCAAGTTTGCCATGGCTTCCTTTGGTCCACATGTAGGCTCTGTGCTTAGTCCTGTGCCTTGTTTGACTATTGGGCTGGAGGCCTTTTTGTGCTGCTGCTGTTGTAGGGCCAGCTGCATGGCCCAGATGCTTAGTGGCCGCATATAGGCCAATGAACGGAACACCCGCTGCTGGCAGTATGCCTCTGGCGTTTGGAAGGCCAGGCCTAGGCGCTCCCACACGGTACGGTAGCAGCCTTCAGCTGTCCGGAAGCCCTCCCAAGTCAGACCCTGTGGAGAAAGATGGCAGTCATATGTACAACTTGGCATCCCCTAAATAGCCACTTCAGCTGGATAGATGGAGACAGTAGAGTCTGTGCCCTCAGGGAGCTCCTCAATTATCTGAAGAAACCTGAAGGCATGGGTTAGAATGGATACCAGGGAAAGCGGGAGGTTTTATGCATGGATAAGATGGCATTGGTTATGCCTTGAAGAAGTTTGTTAGGTGGCTAAAGAAGTTTTCTGGGCCAAGGTGCAGATAGGGAAGCAAGTACATTACCTCTTGGATCATGGTGGCTGCTAGCCCATAGACCACACCCACCCAGACTTCATCAGACTGTACGCTGGATCTGTCAGGGACGCCATGGGGCTGCATCCCATTCACAGCCCCCATGGCTCCTCCTGCAAAGGCTTGGACATTGAGTTCATAGATAGTTTGGAGGGCGCGGACCACATGTTGGGTAGGAAACACCTGGAGGGAAAAGGGCAGGTACAGCATGTCTTACTCTTGCTTCCCACCTCTAAGGAAATCCAACCTTTCTCTCTGGTTCCTTCTAGTCTCTCTTACCTCAGTGTCTCCTTCTCCTAGGCCACAGGCCTTCAGGAACCACTGTCCAGCACACTGGTCAGACATGATACTACGAGACTGAGGCTGAGAGCTGCTATCATAGTTGTAATAGCGGCCTGGAGTATAAGAAGGGCAAAATAAGAGTCTTGGTGCCCCCACAGCTGCCTTAAGACTCTTTAGGTTCTCCTATCTCACCATTCCATAGCAGTCTCTCATAGGCTTCTTGACCCTGTCTGAGGATGGACGAAAACTTGTCCTGCAGATCCTGTGCCCCACACAGAGCGGCCATCTGAACCATCACAGCCACAGCTGCCAGCCACAGCCCTCCACAGTAAGCACTGGTCAGAGACATAGGTTAGGTGTCAGACTGGTAGCTCCAGCCACTCCCATGCAGTATAATAGACGATAGGTCATTCTTTCCTGAGCCCTACAATCTCTTGGTGCCCAATTCCCCACCTTACGCCTCCTGGAAACCCCTATCCTCCAACCTGGGGCCTGTGGTGACCCATGCATCATAGGTCTGGTCTGCATAGCCTCCATTCTCAATTAGTCCATCATGGTCCTTATCAAACTTCATTTCAGACTCCATCACAGCCTAGAGAGGGACAAAGATAATGCTGAAGACCTAGGTACCAAGGAAAGACAGCAGCCAACTGGGCTGTCTCCAAATACCATCCATGCCTCTGCACACTGCACATGCATCCTTACTAGACACACAGGCCACATGTCCTTCAGGAAGCCTTGGTCACCCGTCAGGTAATAGTCCCGATAAACCTGCAGCACAAACTTCAGGTTCAGGTCCTTCCAGTCAGCAGTATCGTGGATCAAATATGCATTGACCCGGAGCCATGGCTCGTCATCTGTAGGAGGGAAGGGGACCTGGTTCATTTGTATTGGTGGATAGGGTAGATGGTGCAGAAGATGAAGAAGGGAAGCTGACCTTGGGGTGGACTTACCTGGGTCCCCAATGTCATGAGGGATGACATTCCTCCTTTTTACAGGTGCTACCACCCCATTCATCAGGTACCGTCGCCGTGTCAGGTCCTCCCTGAGAGTGGCTAGAGCTAAGGGAGCAGAAACACAAGAGAAGCAGGGAATGGGTAGACATGGGGTGGGGCACAGAGCTGTGTGTGTGAGACCTTGGGAACAAATTAAACAGGATGCAGATTGGAGGGAAAGGGGAGGAAGAGACAATCAGAGGGATCACAAAGGTTCAGGAGTAGCTAAAGAAGGCAGATATAGCACAAAAGAGAACCTCACCCATGTCATACTGTAGGCTGAGCTCGAGTTTAGGCCAGAGCATGATAAGGGCAAAGGAAGCATAAAAGTGGACGTCATATGTATTGTACATGCGATACTCCTGGCCTGGAGGAATGAAGGAGGCACACTGTTGGTAGAATTCCTTCTCTTTCATAGCCCCTCCCTAGTTTATCTCTAGAGTTGGAGGTGGAACACTGTTACCAGTCCAGACCCACCACTTATGCCCTTAATCCCAACCAATATACTGGGGTAGGCAAAATCCATCATCCTGCATTGTGGTAAGGCACTAACTGCCACAGCCCACCCGCAGCCCATACCCTCAAGGTAGCCAAATCGACCATAGTCTCGTAGCATGGGGTGGAGCTGACACATGCCCCCTCCCAGCTCTTCTGATATAGAGTCCTCACGAACTTCGAGCCATACGGTGCCTCCATCAGCCAGGAAGTACAGTTCATTGAACAATGCAGATTTATACCACGCAGGCAAGGATCTGGGGAGTTAGGAGGGAATGGTGTAATGAATGTGGACCTCCAAGGATAGAGAGGATCCTAGGGTTCAGTAGAGTGGGAGCACTAAGTGAATCTACTGACTTTCGTAGGTGGAAGAGTGATTTAAGGAGTCCCATTTGGAGTGTTAATGCTTGGGATAAAAGCATGAGATGGGCCCCATTGGCACCTGTCGTCCAATACTGGGCTCTGCCAAGCTGAGATCCTTTCTTCCCAGTCTGCATATCGGCACAGTGCATAGTGGCTGAGGGCAGGTGCTGCATTACCATCCTGGCCAAAGAACCTTGTGTACCGCCTGGGGTGGGAAGAAAGGGGAAGGATAAAGAATGTAAGCTCCAGGACGGCCTGGGTGCCCTGGTGTAAGCCCCAGTGCCTGGGATCCTGATACTTTCTTGGTCCCCTTACCTATAATGGACTTGGCCTTTAGCTCCAAACATGATCTTTGGCATGTCCCAAGCCAGTGAAAACTCCAGGCGACACTGGCCTTGAGGTGGCAGCTTGCCTGAAACACATACAGCCCCAGCAACACCTACTCCTTTCTGTGAGGGGGCGCTTTGGCCTGAAAGATATACAAGAAGAATCAGCACAGGCCCCTGCTTTAACCCCAGGGACAGGGATCCCTAACATGAGAACAAAGTCCATTTATTACCAGGCTTCCCACCCTTGCTCCCAAGTCAGGGATAATCTCTCTTCCCACCATCTCCCTGGCAGACCCCCCATCACCAGCGGGGGAGTCCAGCTGTCCATCCTGAAGTAGATCCTGCCACACCTGCTGCCCAGTGCTGTCAGGGTCAAAGGCTGTGATGTGGGTTACCGTGGTATCTGCCTGTTGAGGGGCCAAAGACTCTGTGAGAGCAAGCTCCACAGTACACTGGATTCTGACTAGGCCTCCAGCTCCTCTTAAATACTCTCATATCTAGTTCCAGAGATTTAAGGGATGTGATGAGGGTAGGAGTTATAGAAATGAAGAGACCATGATGGGGTAATGATGGATTCGGGGGCCAGGCTGAGGGTAGCTGTTAGGCACTAAGGTTTGGGGCAGGCTCTTCCATTACCGTGCATCGTGCAGCCACAGCCATTGTGTAGGGATTTGGAAGGGTTGGATGATGTAGCAGCAGTCCCTGCACAGTCTCCCCATCACGCTCCAGACAGAAGGGCTCATTCCACAACCCCCCTGGGGCATCATCTCCACCTCCAAGTCCATTCCGCATGGAGAACATGATGGACACATCCAGAGCTTCATCCCCTTCATTTTCCACATCCCACACAAAGACTCCTACAGGCAGGCTGCTGTCCTGGGGGCAAAAGATTGGACTCAGATGGTTCCAGTATAGCCCTTCCTGGCCCACTCCCTAGGATCAGTCCTGGGTATAGAGGATCTGATTCAAATACTCCCCAACATACTCTATTCTCTACTTTCATCTCCCAAAGTCCCCAGGAAAGGGGCCATAGAAGCCAACAGGGTGGTGGTCCTGGGAAGCCAGTGTGATGTTTATGTTTCCAACCTCCTCCCTTTCATAGGTCAATTTTCAGCAGAGGCAAATCCCAGGAAAGGGAGGGCCATGGAGAGCAGTGGAGGAAACAGAAGTTAGCCTCACCTGGTAGTCATGGGGCAAGATTGGTGTGATCTGGCGGCAGGTGAGGGTGACATTCTGGCCAGGAAGCTGATAGACAGTCCAGGCTCGGGGATAGAGAGCATGGTAGAAAGCAAAGTATCCACACAGGCCCCAGTTCCAGCTGCGCAGGACACTTGGGCACTCCAGGGACAAGACTTGCTGGTAAACAGTCTGACCTTTCCGACGTAGGCACACTGTGAACTTAGTTGTGGGGATATAGGCTGGAATGGGGTAATCTGCAGGCACCGCAAACTAAGTCTCCATCCCTTCAAAGCAGTTCCTGCCCTTCCAGAGCCTACAATTTACCAGCACACCACCAGCATCAAGTTATACCCCAGGCTCAGTAGCACCACCAACTCTTGCTGCCTCCCCACCATCTGCCCCCCAGGCTTCCTCTCCTTTCTCCACTACTGGGGCCTTAGCACCGTAATCTAGGTCCATACCATCTCTGCTTTTCCTTTGCCCATGCTCATCTGGGTATACGAATGATCTTTTTTTATAGATAAATCAAAATATGTCAGTTTCTGCTTTTTTTTTTTTTGAGACAGAGCCTCAAGCTGAGCCCCTGGGTAGAGTGCCATGTCTTCACTGCTCACAGCAACCTCCAACTCCTGGGCTCAAG